GTTAACGAAACTCTGTATACCGTATTATAGAGGTCAGGCTGTCGTCGAATTAGGAATGGATGAATGATGTCGTGAAAGAGAAGCAATATAGGGTTAATTACCACTTCAATGAAAAGGGGTGAATATTTTACTGATGAATACTAGCGTTATTTACATTATTCGAACTGTTATCCCCTTTTTCCTCCATGTGATCTCCCTTTTCTGTCCATATATGGTCAGCTATGCCTGATATTTTTCCTTTTCCCCTTGTGCTACCGCTTTACGATGTCCTTACCTTAAGTAGTCTTACCTTAAGGTGGCGGCCTGTTTCTCCTTTGTGTTTCTTACCACAGCTGCATGGGATGGCGTACACACAGTTCTTAGTCATGCTCTACTCTGTGGGGGCGGTTCTTACTCGGAAAAGGTGTTTGCGAAGTATTGAATCACATTTGACGATTGCCCTGATATTATGGACCACAGATCCTTTGTAATTTTTTCGTTAATCCCTTCACATAGGGTAGGTAGACTGAAGATGTTTCCCGAGTACGTTTCTATCCCAGTTTGTTGCAGCTGCTGCCATGTACTCCGAAATAAGTTGGACGAAATAAAATTCCAATCACCCGAAGAAGGCTGCAGCGTACAACGGCCGAAAAAAATGTGAACATGGCAATGAAGATGAGGATAACTCTCCGAATAATGTAAATAATGCAAGTAATATCTCATCTCAAAGTTATAGACATATATTTGTCTATATTTCTGAGATGAGGTATTATTTACATTATTCGGACTATTGTCCTCATCTTTGAGATAATTGATAACTGACATCAATCTAACATGGAGATAACTGATAAATGACATCCATTAAATATGGTACGTGGAACTAGAACAGTCTAACCGAGTGAGCGAAATAAAGGGTTCAGTTCGACATTCCAACCACCTGAAGAAGGCCGGAGCGAACAACGGCCGAAACGTTGTAATAAATATTGCGACAAAGATGAGGACAATAGTCCGAATAATGTACTTACTGATGAAATTGAATTTTTTAAGAGGATTTTTCATGTAAAGTAAATTAATGTCATTATATATTTTTTTCTGATTAAAAATACTTTATTTGATTTCGTTTTACTTTAAATTGTTTGATGGATTTATATCTGAATACGCCACCAAAACACTCTGCTGCTGTCTGTTACTGAGGAAAGTTGTAAATAATGCTACGCTTGTAGATGTTTAACGAACTAATGGATATCTGTCTGTATCTCAAAGATGGTTACTCACAACGTTTCGGCCGTTGTTCGCTCCGGCCTTGGTCAATATCTGTCGATATAACTGAGATGAGGTATTATGGTTACTTGCATTATTTCCATTAATCAGACTGTTATCCTCATCTTCATTGCTATATTCACAACATTTCGGCCGTTGTACGCTCTGGCCTTCGCCAGTTTCTGTCTATATCTCTGAGATGAGGAAATATAGTTACTTGCATTATTTACATTAATCAGACTGTTATCCTCATCTTCATTGCCATATTCACAACGTTTCGACCGTTGTACGCCCGGGCCTTCTTCAGGTGATTGAAATTTCGAACCGAACCCTTTATTTCGTCTGCCGGGGTAGATTGTTCTAGTTCTACGTGCCATACCTCTTCCGGATGTCTCAATTTCCCTTTTAACTCAACTCTCCAAGTTTTGTTTCACTTCTGCTGTGGCCTGGTATTGAACTCACAACACTTTAGGTCTATTCCTTTTATCTAACCCAAGTTTTTATCCCCTGAGCCATGTGTATTTGAGGAACTATTGGATGCTTTTAAAAAAACGTTCTGGTCTATGGAAGTCACATGAAAACTGAGTGTCCGATTAAAAATGTTAGACTGTTCTTGAATTATGAACGATATCCCTATTGTTGGAATATGTTCAGGATTTGTGTTCAATTTAGGATAGACGCCAATGAAACCTTGATTGAAAATGGCCGCCGTTTAAAGATTAATGCCGTCGAACGAGAAAAAACAGAACGAACTTTCTGGACAGCTGAAAACAGGAAGGTTAAATAAGTGAATGAAATTTCGCACCTTTTTTTTTTTTTTTTCAAGACTCGTTTAACGCAGATTATATCAGGAATTCAGTCGTGTCTTGTGCCGTTTATTTCATTTGCAACTGTCTTATCGGATTGGAAATCTACTTCAAAATAGAATCATAAGACCAGCTTCCCCCTGCGGGCGATTTCCATACATTGTCAACGTCTTTTTCATTAAATCACGAGAGAAACCTTTGGATATCGACAGAAAATCGCTAGATTTCTTTTCCGTCCGCAGAAATACAACGGTCTTCATTCTTGTTCGGATTTCTGTAAAAATACGTCGATAAAATCTCATTCGAACGGACGAATATATCTATTCACTTGGATCTGATCGTCCGGGAACTTTTTTTTTTTCTTTCTTTCTCTTTTTCTTTTTGTCTCTCACTCTTTTCTTCTCATGACTTATTTTGAACTGACAGTGCATTCTGGATAGTTTTTTTTTTTCGATTGATCTTATATTTCCATCTTTAATTATTTTCACCAGATCTATTGCAGGAGATTTAAGGCTTCAATCTGTAGCCTTGTGGCTGGTATCGCTTCTTTTTTTTTTTTTTTTTTCTGTTCTTACTTTTCTTCACAATATTTCGCAGTATTTTTTATTCTCTATTTTGATTCTAATTTTATCGCTATTCCCCTTTTATCTGATTATATTAAAATTTTGTAATTATTTCCTTAAACTTGTGTGGCACATAGGTCCCCCAAGCGACTAAATGAAACACTGACACGAAGTGAAGATTACTCTAAATTATTTTATCAGCGTCTGAAATATCAAGTATTTTATTACGCGCAGTAAAATCTGCAATGCTACGTTTTCAAAGAGACCACACATTTGTTTAAAATTGAATAATAACAATAATAATAATAATAATAATAATAATAATAATAATAAATTTTAGTCAGAAGTTACAAAATTCCCTTCGCAGACTTGTAGGGCTCCGACGATCAGGGTTGACCACAGGTAGCATCCGCATTGTCTGCTTGGCTGGACAATCGACTTCTGTGACTGTAGAGGCCGATGCGAGAGTGACAATCTCTGTTGCAGAGGTTGCATGTGTTTTCTATCTCTGGTCTATTAGAGATGTCACTTTGCTTTCTGCGGGCCCGCCTTTCCGTGACGACTTGTGTCAGCTTCTCCTCCCCTGACTTGAAGTGTTTGGTCAGGGTTCCTCTCCATTCGGATCTTATGGCTTCCAGGCTCTCCCAACAGTTTTCATGTCGTGTCTCCCTACATCGTGGTACAGCAGCTATGGCTGCCCGGCGGGTTTCCTTCCAGCGGCCAGCTCTTCATACAAGAAGTCTTTGGGGGATATGGTCATCTGGCATGCGATGAACATGGCCCAAACAACGGAGTCAGTCCTGTCTGAGAAGTGTTAACATGCTGCGCAAATCTGCCCGAGACAGGACCTCAGTGTTGGGCATCTTATCTTGCCATGCTATTCCCAGGATACGGCGGATGATTCTCATGTGAAAGGTGTTCAGATGCCTTTCTTGCCTTATATAAAAAAGATCATTTGGATCAGGAGAAGCGTAGATCTATCGATCCAACTATTCACGTCAGTAAGCAGCCAAGGCTAGAAAAGACGAATGAACCTGATAGCCACCTTCATAGACAGTGCTAGAGAAGACTTGAAACTCAGCCGGTAAGTAAATAACCAAACATACTGGAAAGAATATTCCAGTCTTCATTTCTTTCCGTGGTGTTAATTTCATGTTTCGTTTCTCTTGTGAAGATATAGCGGACCATTCCAAGTTTTTATGTACATCGACGCGAATGGAGATTAGAAACGCATCATGGGAGTTAATGCTCAGTTGTGTGAAAAGCCCCGGAAGCTATCAGCTCTGTAGTTAAAATTGTTATTACCGGTGACAATTTTACTAATGATTTTTTTTTAGATCATTTTAGACAAAACTAACCTCACTGTAAAAATAATTCCTTTTCTTTCGATTAAAAATGCTTTGTTTTCCTTTTATTTTAATTTATTTGATAGATTTATCTTCTGAATTTCTACCAGATGAGATTTTAAATACACTAAGGGTTTGGTTTGGTTTTGTTTGGTTTATTCTATTTTACGGCATATCAACCTCAATGGGTTATTTAATGCTGACAACATTTTTAGGTTAGATTCGTATGAATAGAATATGTATTCTTTGGTTTAGATTGGTTTGGTTTATTTTATTTTACGGCATATCAACCTCAATGGGTTATTTAATGCCGACTACATTTTTAGGATAGATTCGTATGAAGAGAATATGTATTCTTTTGTTTAGATTGGTTTGGTTTATTTTGATTTACGGCATATCATCCTCGATGGTGACAAAATGTTTTATTGCTGGTAATATTTTATTTTGTCAGAAATCTGTTTCTGGTGATATTTTTCCTTCAAAATTGTATCGCTCGTAATAATTTTTTTTCAAAAAGTATTGCTGGTAATAGTTAATTATTTCCCCGTAGCTGGGACCCTAACAGGAACTACCACCCCGGGTTAGAGTGGACCTGGAAACACCAGCAATTAAGAGGTGGTTCCACACTCCTCAAAACCTCCTGATTGGAGTCCTTGCTGCTGGACGTAGTTTATCGTCTTACCCAGGACGCGGATATAGTTTAACGTCTTACCTAAGACGGAAATACACTAAGGGATGATATTTTTATTTCGGAGAATGTAACAAGGACTTTAATCTTTACTGGATTAAAACATCAAATGTTTTTTCACTTACTTTCATTTTAATTAATAAACTTTTGGATTCGATAGAAAGATTTTAAGTTTAAATTGTACTATTCTTTTAAACTAATTATTCCCCGTAAAAAAAAACGCACACACTTACACAGATGCATTTAACATGTTTGTTTATTTAGCGACATATCAACTCCTTATGGGTCATTTAATGCCGAAATTTAATTGTCTTGTGAGCATTAGTAATTAGTAAGTAGCTTACGGTCAAATCACGCTGAAAACACCGGAGTTAAGCATCGTAGAGCCAGGTCAGTACTAAGATGGGGGACCGCTTGGGAACACCTGGTACTGTAAGCCCCCAAAGTCCAAACCTTACCTCACAGTCGGTGGGGGGTGTAAACGGTAATGTCAGAGCTGGTAGGGCCACCCAAGGCGGACAGGTCTGAGACACACGCCGGCTAACAAGGGCTCTGGTGAAAATCCAAGGAGCGTCTGCATCGGCAACCGGCTTCTGATCGTTCCTGTCTCTGCGTCTGTGGGAACCCCGCGGCAAGCAAGAACGCTATCCGAGTAGGCCTGTGTACCCTTCTGTAATTTATACCAAGAATCTTCTTCTCATAACAGGAAGAAGCCGGCTCCATCCGCCCAGGGTGAATGCCGCATCAGTACAGTACAGTACATTAGTAAATACCGGGACAAATGTTTTGCTGGTAATTGTTTTGTTTTAGTTACAAAAATGTGTTGTTGGCAATATTTTTATTATGAAAATATATTGCTGGTATTTTTTACTGTAATTTGTTTTATACTTTCAGAGTGTTTTAACCCCAGTTTGGGGGTTAAATATTTTCCCATAGCTGGGACCCTGACAGTTGCTACCACACCGGGATAGGGTTGACCTGAGAACAATGTAGTTTATCGTCAAATACTGATAAAGACAGTTTGATCGTAGAAGTCACGTGTCTTGTCGAATATGTCTTTTTCTCTCTCGTGTCAGACAAATCGGTAAATGTTTACCGATATTTTTTTTCCTGGAGTTTTTATGGACAGCAGTATCCTAGATCTGTTCTTAATGCTTCTAAATGTAGCTGACTAAATTAACCAAGAAAATGGTAATCGTCAAAGAAACCCCTTGCATCGTGCAACTGCTTCTATTTGGGAAGTTTCCATTAATCTAATATTTGTTATCACAGAACTTATTTTCTGTATTTTCTTTTGATGATTGAGTTTAGACCGCTGGGCCGTCTGGCCTTCCGAGTTTTCACACAATGGTTGGTTGATTTCGTTTAGCGGCATATCAACCTTTATAGGTTATTTAATACGCCACTATCTAAATAATTTGAAAGCAATTATACCGCTTCAACTAAATATGTTTGGAACACAGTTGTATTCTTTAAATTACAGATAAAATCTATTGCAGTTCATTTGCTTAAAAAAATTCATATTACTCATTTTACTATAAAGATTTATTGTTGGTCCTTTTACTATTGTTGCTCATTATTATATAAAAAAAGTAATGCTGGTATTTTTACTATAAAAATCTATTTTTATACTTTCCCTAGCAGCATGGCGCGACGTTGCCCGTGCTTGATTCAAAAATTGTACGACTCATACAGCAATCGCTATCACTTGACTTAAAATATTTTTGCCCTTCCTTCCCTTTAAAGGAGTGCTCTTTGCCGTGCTGATGTTGCTACATGCCTTACTTCCTGCCTATCTCACACTGCGATTTTTTCTAAGCTCTATACTAAACATTAAATCTGTTACAAAAAAAGAACTAAACAAAATGAACACAAAACGATCAGCTTCAAAAAAGGACTCGTAACTGGAAAAACCGAATGAAAAAATACTTTTTCACACCAAAACCAGTTCTGCGGAATCAGAATCAACGTTGAGTTTAAGCAAGCGAATGAGCCAATTGGAGTAAAGTGCCATGCAGATTTAAATTTTTCCCACTTGTGACGAATGCAGTTATCGATATTTTTTTGCATCCTAGCATGCTGGATAACATTCGTGTCAGTCAGCTGTTGGCTCTCAGGCTGGCCAATAGAATCTTCCCGCCTGTTCGTGGCAGCCATCTATAGGTTCTCACTCTGGCCAGTAGAAAATGGTCAAACTGCATGAAAACTGGCGTAGAAACATGAAAAAATCGATTATTTCCACTATCGATGGGAGTTGGGAAATACAAGTGTTTCTTGGCCTTTCCGCTATCTTGGAGCATGTGCATGTAAATTTTGGTGGAAATCCGTCGAAAATTGCGGCCGTGCATTCGTTCCAAACACCCCCCCACACACACACACACATCCTGCTTTTTATAGAGAGAAATAGTGTTTTGTCTTTGTTTGGGGTTCATTGTTTGCCCATAATTTGGGCCCTAACATGTGCTACTATCGCGGGTCAGGGTAAACCTGGGAACAACAGCAATTAAAAAGTGGTTCCACGCTCCTAAAAACCTACTGATCAAAGGCCTTACTACCGGATGCAGTTTATCGTCAGACCCAGGGCGGGCGATGCATTTGCTGTTTTAGAACAAATAAAGGAACTTCTGAGCGATAAGGTAGTTTTAATATTAAGGCATTTGACATATATGAAACATATAATGAGGAAAGTGGGTTTGGAAAATTAGACACTCGCAGGGTACACCGAATCTAGGAGGAACAAAAGGAAACATTTAACAAGCTAACTAACGATCATGCGGCAAATTGGACGGCAAAAAGCAGTGATGAAGATGAAGTGTAAATGGGAAAATATTGCTTAGATCCATAAAAAGATAGTGAATTGTTGCAAGCCATCATCACCTATGTTATGAAAGGGAACACCACAGAGGAGGAGTAAGAGAAATAACATGATTTATCTTCGAAGAATGTAAAAATAACTGTTATTCGAAGAGTTTATAAATGAATAACTGTATAAAAGAAGACGCTGAAGCTAAGACAGAACGACGATAGATTCTTTCATGCTTGAACACAATCTTCAGGCCATGTGTGTCGTGTTTTGACTCGACTATTTATATAAACTGGTAAATGGTGCATTATAGGTAGCAAGGTATCATCCTAATGGTTATTAGCTCGGCGGTAACGGTTTTATCACAAATATTCTAGAGGTTATTGACTAGAAATTATTGTAGATACGAAGGCGGTTATTTGTAAATCTTTTATAGAGTTAAATTTGTAAATATATACTAATATGTTTCGGGTGGAGTTTGGTAGCTTTCGGGTGGAGTTTGGTAGCTTCCGGGTGGAGTTTGGTAGGTTTTTGTGTGTGTTTAAATGAGTGCTAATTGAACTTTGGTAAAATAGGTTTTTATATATCTACAGAGAAATAGAGAGAGAGAGAGAGGAAGAGAAAGAAATAAATTCTTATGAAAATAATTATATAAACAACTTTTCAATTACCTATTGATTTTAGAAACATTCCTTATTGGTTATATAAATACATTGATACAGAAACCGAACTGCAAACATTGCACAGACGCACACACACACGCGCACTCACCCACACACAGACATATATATATTAAAACCCACGTTGCAGAATAAAAACGAATTAAACGGAAATTGTTTACAAAACAACGTAATATACCAAAACGATAAAATCACCAGATAATGAAAAAAAAGTATACATAAAACTGAAGGACCCTGGAAGCAAAGAAATTATACACACAAAACATCGTTCACAAATAGTAAATATGCGAACAGTACTATGCTTTCTAAGTATATCTGGGGAATAAAAAAACAAAACACATCACACCAAAAATATCTTGGAAGATAAGGAAAAACCTACAACAACCAATCAAAAAACTTGCAAGCTTTTGCTTGGAGGAAAAAAATATATATTACTTTCCCCGACCAAAATAAATTATTAAATATCCGAGCTCATCTCAAAATGCATATATGAAAATAAATTTTATATAACCTAAAAAAATGAAAAACGGAAAAAATAAAAAACAAACAAATACATAATAATAATATTAAAAAAAAATAAAAAAAATAAAATAAAATAAATAAATATATTTGCTTAAAACCGAAAACCGAAAAGAAAAAAAATATACAAACAAATTGACCTAAATTCATCCAGGTAAATAGACAAACCAATCCCAAATTAAAAACTGTTCCCGCTAAAAAATAATAGTTAGAAAGAACTACAACAACCAACCCCAAAATTGAACAAATAGCTTTAATTAAATTCTCAAACCAAAACAAAACTGTTAAATACGTGATATAAACAAATTTTTACTACGTTAATAAATAAATAAATAAATAAAATAAGAAAAAAAAAAATAAAATCGAGCAATATAATTTGACCCAAATAAAAAAACAAAGCGACTTCCGGTAAAAAATAACCGCCATAATAGAATACCCACAATGCACCACTAACCCGTATATATATAATAAATAGCCGAGAAAAATAACAGCATATGTGGCCTGACGATTGCATATAGCATGAAACAGACTGTCGCCTCTAAGTGTTGACTTCTATGTTCACTTTTTATTTACACGCTCTATCACTGATATTGAGCACTTTATCCTATAAATATAGCACACCTTAAGACTATATTTCTTTATATATATATATATATATATATATATATTTGTAGACAGTAGACGAAACAAAATCTGATTGGCTAATGCAAATCTCAATGCCATTATAAAAGTTCAACCTCCTGATATAATAAATTTGTTGTTATTAAAATAAACCCCGTTGAGCGAATTATGCGGAGAGGCGGCCTCTTAACAGATCGGGGTACCTGGCAGAACGGATCTGATGTTGCAATACCCAAAATCCGTAATGAGGCCATGGTAATATATTGTAGAATAAAAACAAAATTTCTAAATTGAATTTATAAATATGAATGAAATTTAAATTTTGTTCACACTATTTGCATTGTTCCGCCTCTTGTCCTCATCTTGGTTGTCATATTCACGACGTTTCAGACCCTTGTACGCAGCGGCCTTCTTCACGTGAATGTAATTTCGAACCGAGCGATTTATTTCGTCGACCATTTTTCTTGTTCCTTGTGTCACGCCTTTTCCGGATATCTCAGTTTTTCTGCTATTTAGTAACTCAACTCTCCAAGTTTTCGTCCCCCTCTTCTGTGGCCAGGTATTGAACCCACAACTCTTTGGGGTCATGTAGATTACTTTAACCAGGTATTAAATATTTTATCTATATTTCATCAAGTTTTTATACGTTTAGATAATTTTTTTATGAACATATTTGGAATCTGGTTTCGTTCTTGATTTGAAGAAAAATCTGACAGGGGGAATATGTTTATTTACTTGTATTTGATGTCACAGGCTCTTCGGGTTTTTTATTTCATTGCTTTAAAGAACATTTCTTCGATTCACTTCCTATTAT